GAATAATCAATGTCATTTCAATGCCTGGATGAGATTTTTTTACTGACATTTTCTTTGCTGTGTGATTTTCTACTGTGATGTGACACAGTTGCATGTGCATGCACTTCATGAAAAGCATTTTGTGACCCAGCTTTGCTTCCTTTTCAGAACTGTTTATGCTCCATTTGGGTCTCTGCAGATGTGCCAGCACAGAACAGGGAACAACACAGCTTAAGAAACAACACAATTATTTGAAGAAAAAGTTCTGCAGGGCTTCCACAAGAGAAAGGACCAAATACCTAGAGAATAGCCAGTCTGTTCTCTTTGGTGTGGTATGGTTTGATATGTCTCATACTGCCTCTCCTCCACTTGCCTGTCTGTCATTTCCTGCCAAAGATGAGTTCTGTAATGAGAGGCTTTGATGTTTCATTGCAATTCACCTGTTATCCCCATGCCTCTTCTGGTGATCTCAGAACCTTTCCCTTTTATGGGCAGCACTGCATTTATGCAACAAGGTTTTGGTAGCAGGAGACTGCAGGGGTGGTTTCTGTGAGAAGATGCCAGAAACTGCCCCTGTGTCCACTCCAGACAGCTCCAAAATGGACCCACCACTGCCCAAAGCTCTGCAGTGCTGGTGGTACCTCTGAGATAACACATACAAGAAAGGGTAAAAGAAGCTGAGAGAGAGGCACGAGAAAATACAGAAGAAACAGCCCTACAGATACCAAGGTCAGAGAAGAGGAGGTGCCCCAAGTTCTGGAGGACCTGGGGTGCCCCAGGTTCAGAGAGGCAGCAGAGGTGTGGAGGGCAAAGTTGTGAGGTCATGCTTAACCAGCCAACCAATGTCCAAAATGAAACCTCTGTGCCCACATACACATGCCTCGTGTCATCTGAAATTACATGTGCCTCTTGAAGACAAACAAATTACTGTAGAACAGAAAGGTTATGGGTGGCTAGAGTGTGAATGGCAAGGATATATTCTTCCTAAAACTGGCAAAGTATACCGAGTTTTTAAAAGAGTTATGAGCAGCCAAACTGCTGAAATTTCTCTGCCTATTATTCCAGAAATCCAGGAAGATCTAGATCTACTATGTAGAGCCCAGAGGCGAAGAAACTACACTTAGTCATTATAGGCACAGGACAGACAGTGACGAGAGCAAAGAGAGGCAATGGGGTGGACAAACGCTGGGATTCCCAGCTCTGAACAATGCCTCTCCACTGCAAGTTGCATGGCACACTTTTCCTGCACTGGCCATGCCCCCATGCCAGAAACATCATCTTCTCCATTTGGGGTGAGCAGTATCACTGGTTGCTCAGGTCTCCTGCATTTTTGCAGAGCAGAGGGCATGCAATTCTGCTGGACAAAGCTGTGAACATGCCCATCCCCACTGCCTGCAGGCTGGTGGTTCAGCAAGGCAAAGAGCAGCAGAGCACAGATTTTCTAGGGACAGCATGTCCCTACATGAACACTGGGATTGGAGTCTTCTGGAATGCCGGACTTCAGATTCAGCAGGTTCCTATATGAGCCTGCTAGGGCTAATTAATGCTCCCTGGGGGCACACTCCAGATGGAAGGGGAAAGTAAGAGACAGGCAGCCAGACAGGCCAACACTTCAGACATCTGAGCCAGTTGGGCTCCACGGGCAGAGCTTTCTGCTTGCCACTTTTCCCAGTGAGTCTTGCCTGCTCTGCAGCATCACGCCAGGAGAACCTGAGACAGCAAAGCTCTGGTGTCCGTGCAGTTCCCTTGTTGCAATACATTGATCAGAGCTCTCTTAAAGAAAGTGGCCTGGATATCTGAGACACCTATTGATTGCTCCATTGGCTCTCTTCCTGCCCTGATCCTCATTCACTCGGCATTGCCTGAATAACCTGCACATCTATGTTAGGGCCAGTCTCCCTGGATCTTAAAGGGCTACATTCACAGCTATTGCCTAGCTGCAGCCTACGTAGGGAGATGTCTGGTGACCCTTATATGCAGTCCCCAAGGGGAGAATCCAAGTCTCTCCTGCAGCATCAAGCTGAGCATTTCAAGTGTAAAGCCCACCTTGAAGTTGTGGTTATTTGTGCTGATGCCGTCTGCTTGAAGAACAAGGTTAACGCCACATGCCCAACAGGCAGGAGGTGGCTTGTACATCATGTATGGCAATAATAATCAGGAAAATGAGAAGAAATCATGAAACCCATTAACTAGTTACTAATGGAATATCATATTTTTCTTGAGCAAAATGGTAGTTTCTTCACCCAGAAACATCCCCACTAACTTACAAGCCCAGGGGCTTGCTCAAGGTCATCAAGGAGAAAACTGTGTGGAGAAGAACTGATTTCTGGATCTTGCCTTTAACCAAAAGACTGCTTTTCTCCAAACTTCTGATAATCAAGCAGGACAAAGAACATGGCTTAGCAACCTTCTGCCATGCATGAACCCAGGGATGATGAGAGAGATGTACCAAGGCAAAGTAGGAAGGGGAGCTATTAAAAGGAAAAATAATCACAGCCCAAATGTCAAGAGGCATCTTGTCCTAATGAGAGTTTGGAGACTGCAGAATAGGCTCTCTGGGGAAACCAAGACATCAGGGATTTTTAAAAACAGTTAAACTACCAAAATGGTACAGTTGGGAACGCTCGTGCCTTGGCAGAGAAAAGGGATGGATGAGCTAACAGGATGACAGATCAGAGATGGAAAAGACCAATGAACCTTTTCTAATCTGAAGTCCCTTGTCAATTCTGCATTTTGAGCAATTCAAACAACAATGGATTTGTTCTTTCTAGAAACTCTTGGCTCTGTGGAGACCAAATAGTGTAACACCATTTTTCTCCCTTCTTGGATTTGGCTTTTAAAGATATGTATTGATTGAATTCTGTATACTAATACTCTGTGCTTCCACCAAGCTTCACATAAAGTTAACTAATTGGTCCTCACAATTCTTTTGCAAAGCAAAGCATTATAACCCTTATTTCTCAGCCTGGGATACTGAGCAAAAGAAAGAAAAAAAGATGCCTGCCCAGTATCACTTGACCACTTTCTGTTACGACACAGTACCCCTATTTTCAGATTGCTAGGGTAGCCTCCTCTGCTCTTGCTGATAATATCATGTGCTCTTGTATCCCACTGCTATCAATAAATCTTTATGCTGTATTTTCCACAGCTTTAAATATTATGGGCAGGATCACAGATAGACTAACATCAATAGCAAACCACCCTTCCCCAGTGACTTTAATGATGCTTGATCAATCCCTATATGAATAACTAAATACACTTCAGCACAAAAGCAGCCATAGAGTCAAATTTCAGTTTGCCATGAGTAGTATCCCACAGGGTCTGTGAGTTCAGGCACAGCATGGTGTGAGTGAATTTACACTGCCTTCCAGACTAACTCTGGTCTGGACGGAGTTAACTGTTTTCACAGAACTTGGAGGCTAAGACATAAAACCCTTCACAGGACCCTGCTCTGAACAGTGCTGAGCTCCCAGAAGCACAGATGCCCTGACCACACAGCCAGCACAGCAGCACTGGCTCCTGTGACTGTTTCCCCAGCTGCCAGCTCCAAAAGGCACGACTGCTCAGAAGCAGGACAGCACAGACACTGGCAGCCAGCAAGCCTGAACTTGTGCTGCTGCTCTGCAGAATGACTGGAGACACTACAGGCATTTAAGGTTGTTTTATGGGATTCATATGAATAGGCTGCAGTGCATGAACAACCTGCACTGAAGCCAGTGTCACCGGTGTATATTTGTTTTAGTGGGTAAGAGCATACATCCCCTCCCTGAACTACCACATGAAGAGAAGCACATTTGCAGTGGTCTCTAACTACAAAGTAGGTGCCTCCCTCCCAGTAGGAGATCAAGATCCTCTGAGTCTACCACCTCTACACCTAGGTCAGGAAAGGCCAAATTACAGAAGCTTGCATCTCCTCCCCTTGGTAACTGGTATGCTCTAGAAGGAAGATATTTAACTACAGAAAATACACATCCATCAAAGAAAAAAACAGGTTTAATGTCTCATCTACATTTTTAACAACACTGGCTGCCATCAACCTGCATCTCAAGAAATGAGAGAGCTCTAGTGAGAAGCAATACACACTCAACTGACATTGTACAATTTATTACCAGCTGCTGTGATGTCATGACCTGGAAGAAAGTTGTATGCTGGCATCTTGGCTCCAGCATACAGGACTCGTGCATAACCACAGCCAGCAGCTGTTTCTTGTGGTTAAGCTGAGAGGACCTCGCTCCGCTGGTATAGCCATGCAGAGGGTTATGTGCAGTGCTTCTTCTTCCTTCCCCTCCTCCCCTCACTGCCTTTCCCAGAGGGACCCAAGGGAAACAAACCTTTAAAGTCAATCCATAAGAATGTGTTTAATTGCCACTGAATTCCCTGCGGTTCCTCATGAATGGACAAAGATTGAAAAGGGGGGGCGTGGGAGGAAAAACAGTACAGGAGAGAAGCTGAACACTGCTCAAAGAGCGCTGAACAGATCAATAGGCTGAGCAAAACACAGGCTGAGTATGCAGGGCAGGGGACCCACAGCTCCCAGACAAACCTATGCTACCAACCATCTTCAGAAAGTCTCCTGAGTGGTAATAAAGGCACATTGCACACTGTGCCACAGCTCTGCATTAACTCCATCCTTCCCTTATGATGAGCTGCCAACTCAGTCATGATCATGAAAGAGCCTCTCCTCCTCAACACCGAAAAATTACTAGGGTACAAGAAGAGAAACACCCTCCAGCCCAGCATTCCTTTGGGAAAGGGAAGTCTGGAACCATCGTTTTACAGTTATTTATCAAATTTGCAAGTGCTAGAAATAATATCTGAGCATGAGAGCACTGACTAGAACCATTCTCCTCTCTGGACTGACCTCTTGGTTGCTGCCCATCCTGACTCTGACAAAGCCTGTAGAAAGATACATTCAGGAACACAAAGAGGGCAAGCATGTAGCTAGCCTGGGAGATTCTGCGAGGTCTGGAATCCCAGGCACTCTTGGCACAGAGAAAAACTCTCATCTGACTCTGTCTTACCTTCTTTTAGCATCCCCACTTTGAGGCATTTCATGAAGCGACAGGCCTGACAGGATTTGCGCCTCCGTTTCGTGATCTCACACTCATTGGTGGCCGGGCAGCTGTATTCAATATTCCCTGTAATCAAACACAGAGATGGTCACCCAGGAATCATGTTCTCCCCATGGATCCAGGGACAGGCTGCAGTGCCCAGATATTCCCACCACCATCAGTCTGTAAATGCTGCATGTTTGCTCATTCACTTACACATCCTCTGAGACTTTACCCTGCTGACCTAGCCAAGGGCATGACTGCAGTGCTGGGCTTTCAGGCATGTGTCTTCCAGGCATGTTGTCATCTCTTGTGCTGCACCCCTTGTAACTTGGCCTGTTCCCTGAAGTCCAGGGATAAGAGTGGGAGCAGTTCAGACATTACTAGAATTTCCTTTGCTGCCAGTCTTGCTCCGTGTATGTGGGGTAGATGTCATCTGCCCTTCTTTGTCCTGCCTGGGGAACCAGGGAGCTTACAAGACTTGCAACTTCCCCCTAATTCCACCCCATTCCTCTCACTACTACTCATCTGCCCCCAAACGCAGTTTGTCAGCAAGAGCAGAGGGTGCTGCACAAGTTGCTTCCATTCAGGCTGTATTTCGTCATTGTGCAGCATCTGAATTTCAATAGCCAGCCATGTATCAACATTCTCAAAGAGCTGGAAATTGAAATTCAAGATAGATCTCAAGGTAATAAACAAATTCCTGTTCTAGACACAGAACATTACAGACCCGTGAGCATGGTGATCTGATCTCATGATCAGATACTTGCTGTGCCCCACACAGGAAGGAACAGAACCAGAGCAAACCTGGAAAAAACTCAGACACAGTCTCACTTTGGGAGGTTTTGCCTTTGTTTGAATGCCAACCTTTCTCACCAAAGCCAGGATCAGAGCTCTGGAGAGATGCAAGATTTTTATTTTATTTTTTGTTTGTTTTGTGGTCCAAAAGCTGAAAATTTGCCCCCTAACACAGAGACGCCACAGTAAGGGCACTGAGCCTTTATAGCAGTGGCAGACAGTGACAGCTCTCATTTGGAAGCTCAAGGTCCCTCCGCAGTGTCAAGCAGATCCCAAAGCTTCTGCATGACTCTACTCCCTGGATCCTTTGACAAGCATGGCTCTGGGACGAGTCTACAAAACCTACATCATGACTAAATGGGAGAGGGTCAGAGGACATGAAGGTGCTAGTTGCCAAACGCACACTGTGTGCAGCCCGAACGAGCAGTTCTTTAACGCACATCTGTACTGGGATCATGACTGCTAAAGAAGAGGATAAGCATTGGGAGTTTTATATCAGGCCCAAAATCACGTTGTGCACAGCAGAGATTGAGAGCCACAGCTGGGCACAATCCCTGCCATTACTGCAGAAAGCAGGGGCATCACCGGGGAAGGCACAATCAGCATTACCCAAGCAGAGCTCGACCAGAAAAAACTCTCATTTCCAAAAGTTTACCAGAGTTCTCGGATTTTTTTCTTTTTCTTTTTTTTTTTTTTTTCTGGTGTCTCAATTTCTTTTATGGGTCCTGGGGCTGGCTGCCAGCACAGTGAGTTGCTCACAGCTCCCTGTAATTTCTGTAAGTGCCCTGTGATAAAGTGATGAGATTAACTCATCGAAATTCCAACAGCCTCCCAGTGGCTGGCAGTCACACCACCAGCCCAGCTGCCAGCACAGGGGCCTCAGAGAGAGCTTCCCTTCACTGCAGCAGCTGGGGATGCTGCAAGGTCCTGCAGAAGACTATCAGCACACAAAGGTGTACACAGACATGGACAACTCTGTATGCAAAAACAGAATGTGAGTCAAGTGTCTATGTGTCATAAACTATAGATTATGTGCCCCAGAAGGAAGGTGCAAAGAAGGGACAATTAAATAGACAAGGCCTTGCTTTGAGCTGTTGCTTATTAGAGGGATTTCCTTTACTTAGAAAATATTTACATTTGATCGGAAAAAAATGGTAGAACCTCACTGATGCCATGGCACAAGATTTACCAAAAAAATGGCCTCAAAAATCAAGTGGTAGGTGAACAGATCAGAGTCTGGATTTCTTCTAAGCCTTCATATATCGCCTTGGAGAGCAAATCACTCCCTCTTCATGTCCTAGTTTGCTCATCTGAAAAATGAAATGAACACTAAACCTACCATCTGGAGAGACTGAGAGTCTTTATTCATTAAGGTGTAACTGTACTTTAAAGTCTTTAGATGAGAGATGCTACAAAACAGCAAAGGACTATTAAAGTGATAGAACATGCTTTTTTTTTTTTATGCTGGAAAACTGCAAAAGTACCCTATTTTCTGCAAAATTAGACCTCTGACTATTAAACAGCTTGGAACGTAATTTCTATTGCACATATAATAGGAGCACCTCAAAATTGCACACCAAAATTTGGTCATTCAAAAGACCCTGTATTCACCCTACCTCTCTGGAACAGGATGGACTTGGAAGACAAGAATGCCTCTCTGAGCTTGGGGAGCATAGTAAAGTCCCACCCATCTCCTGCTTAAATTAGGGACAGGGTCCTCAGGGGAACTGAGCTTGAAATCAGTACAGCACTGAGGACACAAGCTACTCCCTGCTTCCTGATTCTACCTTTCTAGAAAGCCTTTCTGCAAGGAAACTCATGAAAGACTAGATAAAAATAACCAAGAAATTCCTTAAATAATTTTCAGCTTCTGATTGCTAAAAAGCCCATCTTGCTTTTTCTCGTTTCTTCTTCATTGCCATTCACTTCAATTAGTCTTTCTAGCTGAGGCATCATAGCTCAAGTCCTGGTGTGAGGAGAGGTACTTTGTGAAAATCGGATGAAAATCTCCCCGTGATCTGCATAAGGTAAGAAGGGTTATTTTTTAAGCCTCAGCTTTCAAAGGAAAGGATTCAAATGATGCTAGGTGGAAAATGGGATACATATAGGTGTAACACCAGAACTGCTTGCCTCCTCAGGGTGGCACACCTGACTCCTGTTCACAAAAGAGGGCTTGGACATTTCACAAAACCTCACTCAAATCAGCCTCCTGCTTGTACGAGCATGCAGGACAGGGGTCTGGGGGCTCCCTACTGGCAGCAAGTTTGTCTATGGGGTTTCAGACATAGAAATATTTTACAGAACTTCCACAGAAAAGGTCCTCCTGCACAGAGCTTGCTGTACAAATGTACTGAGGCAAACAGAAAACACTAGACTAATAGAGCTGAGGTTGCACTGAAGATTTTTTTCTTAAATTCAAGTGATAGATCTGTGAATAGTAATCAGCTGTCAAGCACTAGATCATGAAATACTGCACTTTCTCTGGGTAGGCTTTAGAAATTTTTGGAAAGCTGTGAACTCCCACCTGAAAAGTAGCAGGCACTTTTCTGAGAAGGACAGAAGGACAGGACAGTGCCTGGCTGATGTGGCTGCTACTGCAGGGATACAAAACCTCCTTTGTGCATTTGGATTGTAACACTCTTCTGCTCAGTAAAAACTCTGTCAACTGCTCCTCTTCCTGGGAGCCACTCTAAGCACCACAACAACAACCAGAAAGCCCTAGAAGACTTTATTACAAGCCTGTTAGAAACCCCTACAAGTCTTCTGAGCTGCATTATCCACCTCTCAAGCTCCTTATTGGTGTAAAGGCATCCCAACACAGCAGTTCTGCTGCTACACTCACCGAGTCCAAAGCTTGCAAGACTCAAGCTGGAAATCCACAGATGCAGGCACTTTGCCTAACACACAACTTTAATATCCAGAAGATGATGGTAAATGTGTCTCTTTTCTCTGAATCTCCAATGTTTTGTTGAGCTTTAAACTTTTTTTTAAAAAATAATAATGAGTCATTTTAGAAATAGCCTTTATTTTCATCATTTGAAGATGAAAAATAGATGCAAGGTAGTCATAGTCATGAGTATATTTAATAATAAAGGACTCGTATCATTATATAGCATTGTTGTTTGTTAATACTCAAAGCAGGCAAAACCACCTACTAGTTGTGACAATTAATGAACAAATGACAATGACAATATATTTGACTGATAATGCTCTACCTGCTGAGCAAACTATTAAGAGAAGGAACAGACTTTGATTGAGAATTTCTATCCTGTAAAAAATCCAGTATTTGCCTTAGTCTAAATTTGGATGAAAGGATTAGGTAGGATTTCTATGGAACAGAAATTAAAAAAGCTTTTATTTATAAACATCCCAAACTATCTTATATGTAACACACTCACTCCTTTACATTCAGCTAATATGAAATCTTTTGTTTCAAATCAGACCTCTCTTGAGTACCAATAGCAGGACATTTAAACATGTCTGAAATTCAGATTCTCTTCTATTTGCACTAGATTGCACATTCCACAATATTCGTAGTCAGGTGAGGAAAATGCAAGCTCCCACTAGAATATAATCCCATGAAACAGTACAATGATAGGGAAACAGGTTAAAATTTTGTGAGACAGCCTAGCTGACTGGAAATGCTTCAGGCCAGTTTAGGTTTTCTGACTGCCTCAAAGTATGGTAAGTCCAATCCTGGGGTTCAAAATACTGTGTTCAGAGGGAAAGACCTGCAGCCCAGGGGTGTGTTCTCTCAACTCACCTCAGGTTTTCACTTTTCTATGTCAAGCATTGCCAACATTGCAAAGTGGAAATGACACACAGATTTCCAGGCCTCAATCCTTATTCTATGTAACACAAGGTAAGAAAGAAGTGTTGACACTCCCCCATAATCTATGGGACAGGTTAAGGTGTGTTGGGTGATCCTGTCTTCCTGTCCTAGTTCAGGAAAACCAAACACTCCATTTCAGCTAGAAGGTTATAAATGTTTTGGATTTTCCTGCCTTCTTTTTTTTCTCCTATCATCAAAATTTTTCTTGGGAAAATCTGACTTGGTAAAAATTCCGCTTTTCTTTGGAAAAAGCCTACTGACAGAAAACTCCCACACAGCAATACCAGTGACCTCAGAGATAATCAACCATGTCCACGCTGGCTCTCAGTCTATCTTCTCCCCATCATTTGAAAAGCAGCAGCCCTTGTGTTGTCCATGACACCCTGGCCTCACCTGGCCTCATGAGAAAGTGAGCTGCAAATAAGTCATATTGCTTAGAGGTCTGCAGCTTGGATGCCCGTTCTTCCTGCTGCGGCTACAGCAGCAGAGGGAGTTCAAAGGCCATTGCAAGATGCTCCTACCTCAAGATATGCAGGTTTTAGGTGACTTAATGCAGCTAAAAAACCCTAATAGGCATGGGGTAATTTGTAGCAAGGGAGGGGGGGCTAGTTGGAAGGGGGACTTCTTGTGAAGGTCTGCTTCATGATCAGGGGTATCTAGATAGGGCTGCAGTAGTTTAGGAACTCAGCACAGATTTAGACCCATTTTATGGCAGCATGCACATGTACAGCCAGCAAAGTGAATACAGTCATAGTATTCATTAGTTTTTCACCTGTCAATACTCAAGCACAGAGAAGTGAAGTGGCTTGTCCAAGACCACAAAAGCCTGATGATAAATTTACCTTATTTAATCTCTTGAGCATCTGGGAAATCCTGGGGTTATTGCTCCTTCTTGTTGCTCAAACCACTGAGTCAATGCCACTCCCACATTCTGAATCATGGCAAGATTTTGGTACTAGGATACTGGGAAAGCAATTCTATAACATACACATCTGCATGCTTTCTGCAAAGGCTACATCAATGTTAGGCAGCCTGGATGAAGATGCTTTCACTTTGTTAAATGCTTAAAACAGCCACTGAATATAGTAGAGTTGTGGGATAAACAGCTTTTGGAAATGCTCTTGCCATTCATCTTCTCTTTTATGTGATCCTCAAATCCTTTTCTCCTGCACACCTGGGGTTGGATATCATGCCCACAGCAGCAGAGCTGTGGGAACAGTGTGTTTTCTTGACTCAACCAAACTCTGCAGACCTATTTGCTGCCTGCTTCCCTGCACTCAGCCTTCAGCTGCATAGCTGAAATTGCTCACCCTCAGGCACAGCACACTTGACTCTCACACTCTTAGGAATAAAAGCATTTTGGTACCTCAGTTGCCAGCCCAAGCTGATGACAGGGTGAGAGAAATTTTCACTTACTCCTTTCCCCCCGCCCCTACCCCTCCCCGTCTGCTGCATGTTAACAGGCAATCAATTAGGGAACCACAGAGAGAAAGAATATGGCTAGGGAAAGGAAGATGGAGGGAAGCACTCTCCCCTCTTGGGATTCAGTCAGCTGGCATATTACCTGGCTGATACAGGCTCCATGTACTGCTACCATGCATCATTTTCTTTTGATTCTCTCTGAAAACTCTTCAGAAGTTCCTATGTTTTTTTTTCTCCTTCTCAAGGACTCTTCTGCTCTGACACAGAGGTCCTCCAGTATCATTCCCATGAAGGGGTAATTAACTGGTCTCTTCCTGTATTAGGAGACCCCAGGACTTTGCTTCAGAGTGCTACCCTGTCCCTGCTTTAGCACCTGAATGTGCCTAAAAGAAACACTAGGAAGGGTCCAAGGGCTGGAGAAGGGAAGGAGTCAGTGCTGACAGAAATGCAAGTAAAATTCACATTCAATCACAGAGATTCAGCAATGACAAATTACAGAAACCCTGCCAGGGAACAGGCCAATTCCCTAAGGACAGCCATGGAATAATAAAGAAAGGAGTATCAGTGAGGCAGAGTAATTATTTCCACAACTGGATTTCCACATTAAGGAAAGATATCTAAAATCTATGAAAACAAGATAGATATAGTGACTTTTGTGGAGACCTGGGATAAACTGCACCCTGTACCATTCAAGAGTTGAACATCCCCGGCAACAGAGTGTAATCAGATCCATTCAATTAACAAAGTGAGTGGTCTCTCCACACTTGCATTTGTTTCATTTCACAGGAGGTAAGGAAGTATTGATGTGGTGGACTAACCCCAGCCAACAGCCAAGTACATGCACAGCTGCCTGCTCACTGTAGACCTGCCTTCAGTCAGCACACCGTACTTGGGCAAACCCAATACACTTCCCACTGAAAGATGAATGATCCTGTGCTTTTTCCAGCTAGTGGAGGAAATAAAGGGGGTATCCGTACATCCCAGCATGTTTGTTCACATGGGGTACGGGTATGTAAGTATACCCAAACATCCATGGATATTGGAGGTTGTTTGGATGCACTCCTGCTTTTGATTATGTTGTAGCTGCACATGTGCACATCTGCAAACACTTTTGGCAGTCAGGACACAGCCATACTCCTCATACCTGAATTGTACATGAAGGAGTAACTCACTGCAATTCATCTACATGTGCACGCATTGAGGTTTTCAAAATCTCCTGAGGAATTGCTCATCCTTAGTGAGACTGACAAAAACTTCATCTTCTTCACTGCCTAGTTTTTTTATCTTCAAAGAATCTGCATCTTAATGAAAAAGGTTGGTAAAACTCGAAAAGGAGAAAAAGACTGACTCTCACAAAAGTTCTCTGTCCAGATTTGTGCTGAGGTTTGTATGGAGTTCATGGCTATCAAGACTGGTAGGACAAAGAATTTCTCTACTCTTGTAATGCTGGAGCTTTCACCTCAAGGTGCAGCTATGTCTACATACATTCCATCTCTTGACAGAGGCACCTACCCTTCAAATGGGCCTTAAAACACCATTAGAACGCAAAGCATTTCCTTTCCAGGCCTTACTCCACAAGATGTCACATTCTCATAGTATCAGTGCCACTAGCAGAGGCAGGAAGATCACTAGCCCAGATACCCAGATCTGGCAGCCAATCAGGCAAGGAACTTGGCAAAGGTTCCTACCATCACATGGCCTAATTCCATGTCCACGTTGATTTGGAAGGACCAGAACTGAGCAAGAAGAAAGAAGAAGCATACAAAAGGATGGAGAGTTAGGTGCATTAAATACATTCTCCTTTTCCCCCCTTTATATGACACTGCAGTCTCAGCAATGTCTGGGGCCATGTCCCTTTATCTCTATGGAGTGAATGCCTCAGTTTCCATTCCTTCCCACCATACCTTGAATAGTCCTCTTGAAGAAGGCTTTACATGCCTCACAGGAAGCCACGCCGTAGTGGTACCCAGAAGCAATGTCCCCACACACCAGGCACAGCCGCTTGGGGATTGCGTTGAGCATGTACTCGCACTTGGTGGGTGAGTCCTCCATGATGGCGCTGGCGCAGTCGTCGTAACGCTTACGGCAGGACCCGCCGCCGATCCCCGTGCCATTGAACATGGGTGGCGAGTCTAGGCCATTGGGGTGGCCGCCCATGGCGATGCCGTAGCCACCGCTAGCGTCGGAGGAGCCGCTTGGGCTGTGGTGGCTGATGGCGTCGATGCCAGAAGATGGGCTGGAGGGCTCGGTCTTGATGAAGGACCCACAGCTGGAGGAGAGGTGCCGCTCCTCCGTGGCCATTCTGCCGAGCAGCCTGCAGGGAGAGAGCAAAGGCACTCAGCAATCGCCTTTATGGAAAGAACTTCACCAGCTTTTCAAGCTCTTCATATTTATTTTAGTCACAGATAGTCTTATTCTTTATAAAAGTGTTCAGTCTTTTCTTAGAAGACTGCTAAATTTTATGATATTTATAGCAATGAGTTTCAGGGATTACTTGTGCGGTGTATGAACAAACAAACCCCACTTTTATTTGCCTATAATGTATTTCCAGCCTGTCAGACTCCCTGAACATCTCCCAGCTCTCCTTCTCAGGAAATGTAGTTTTGCCATGTTCTCCTCATTCAGCTCTTCATTATCTATATGATGGCTCTTCATGCAGGAGTTTTTGCAGATCTCTTATCTGCTTCATCATCCATCTCAGAACTTCCTCTAGTCTGGCTATTTCTGTTCAGTCCAGAACAGAGTTCAATGAGCCAGCTCCTCAGCAGCACAAAACTGGCACTGCTCCATCACTTCTCCAGCTGAAGGTCTGGACAGTAGTCAAGACAAAGGCACGCCATCAATTACCTCGTGATGTTACAATATTTTCCATGTTATTTTCAGTCTACATATTATGTAATTCCTTGCACTCTTTGCTTTTTTTCCCCTCTTTAAATGAAAATCTAAATTGTTACATTCTTCAACAAATAGTACCAGGAAGTTACTTACTGCAACACTCGATCTTATTCCTGAGTTGCTACAGTTAATTTAGAATCCATTAAGATGTATGAAAAAATCAAATTAATCCTTCTGGTGTGCAATGTTTTGCAATTGTCAACAGTGTATTTCATCTGCCACTATGCTGTGCAGTCCAGACCCCCAGCTTTACTAGGATCCTCTGGAGCTCTTCAGTCTTCCTTGCTAATTTGATTTCATCTGCAGTCTCATTGTTCACCCACTTCCCAGATCATTAATACATGGATCAAACACACAATACTGATCTTTGTGGGTGATGCATGTTAACCTTTATCATGCTGAAAATTGACTTCTCTCTTTTCTGAGTTGGGTACGTCTAGCCCTTCTTTCTGTCTCTGACACCTTTTAATTGATAATAGTATTAACCTGAGAGGTTAAATTTTCCCTTCAGCAAGACAATTTGTCAAGGGCTTTAAGAGAAACTAAACATGCATTTTCCTGATGACACGGCCAAAGAATTCTGACTGACTGGAGATGCTTGCCTTTTCTTCTTGTAAGCTCTGCTTGTTTAAAGTTACCACACCATGGTCATGTGGGTAATTTCTATTTCTATTTCAGTTTCAGCCTATTTACCTGGTATTTGTGGCAACTCCTTCTGCCAAGAGATCAAATCCATCAGGGGACAGGACAAAACATTCTGTGACTCAGCAAGGCTGGAGTGCACACTTTTAAATATCACATCTGTGTGTCTGTTGATAGGAATATAGATGTTTGATATGCAGCAAATTCACAGTCCTGCATCCTTATGATCTCATTTGACCTAAGTATCTCCTAATTTTCCCTTCTCTGTTTCATCCTCAAAGTTTGACCTCATCTCCTATCTCTGGGATCGATCAGCCAAGTTTGTTTTTTGGCAAGACTGTTGACCTTGAGAATATGGGCAGGCATCTCACGTTCCTCAGCTGCTCTGCCTGGTGTTACTTGAGAGGAATCCAGGGTTTGGGCCCTCTCAGAGACAGTGTGATGAGTTGATAAATGCCCATGCTTTGCCCAGAGGGCCACAATGAACTAGAGGTCATGGAGCAGTTACAGAAATTGCTGCAGGTGCATTCATCTCTATTCCCACAGGGCACCTGGACATATTGCAGATCTTCTGGTGTAACGACAGCTGACTGTGTGAAGGAAGATGAAACTTTGCTAGCTGAGACTAGATCTTAGCATTTCACAGCAAAGCTGAAACCTGCTGTGCAGGCTCTGGAACCTCCCCATACCTGAGAACTGCATCTGTGGTAAAGAAATTAAGATCACTGGGCACAGCAACATGAGATAAAGATTAAAATGGAAGGCAAAGCAATCATAAAGCACTGTTCTGCACTGTGGAACTCCATGGTAAGAGAAGCTGGAGTTGTAATTTTTAAGGCAGACAGAGGAAAACACTATGAAACAGGAATGACAGGGAGATGAGCTGTACTGGTAGGTTCCATCAGTGGAGCCCAAATCCCAGCTTCTGTTTCTTAAATAGTCCAACATTCATGGATGACTTCAAGAGTGCTTACTGAGATATTTTCCTTCAGTGGAGAAAGAACAAAAAATAAAAACAGAAAATAAAAAGAAAATAAATTTTAAAAAAAAGGGGGGGGGGAGAAAAAGGAAACAAAAAAAAAATAAAGAACCTGAGGAAATAAGGAGCCTTCCTTCCCCAAGGCATGCAAACAGTGAGTGTTTGATGGTGAATCAGGAAACAAGCCCCCTACATCCTTGTAGATGAGGACCCTCCTGTTCCCTTCCAGCAGGCAGCAGCACATAGGGAGTTCTGGTTGGATGTGAATGCATGCTTGGGAGCAAAAGCCCTTAACACCAAGATAGATCAAAGATTACAGCTAAGGTGACTCCAGCCATTCCAGAGCATGTGCTTTTCTTTTCTGGCCTCTGACTTTCTGCAAGTCTCATGGAAATCCTGTGCTGATTTTTAAACAGTCAGAGTGTCCCCTGGCAATGAGATACAACATCTTGAACTTCAAGAAGAACAGCTAAATGTGTTTTGCAAAGAGTTCAAAGTGATGAACAGCCATTTTGCTTGGCTCTAGTTACCTTAATAGGAATGTAAAAGGAGAGAGACTTGATCCAACTCTCCTCTGTGCTGGCACAGGAAACTCCGTTACTATTTCTGTGCCCATGTAACAGGCTTAGAGGTTCTAAACATTTCGTTCTTTTCACCTTTCCTCATCATAGGTCATTCCTTCTAATCCCTTTAGCATCTTTGTGGTCCTTCACTGGATTTGTTCCAACTTCCCTGGGTCTCTGTTGCAGCAAGGTGCCCTGAACTGCACAGTGCAATGCTGCAGCACTACAGGGGAGAGTCACTCTGGAAAGCACACAGCCAGGAAGACATATGGACCAACTGAACAGTAGCTTTGCCAGACATCAGGTTGCACATCAGCTCACAAAATTTGATAGCCTGTCTCACTGGGACCTCTCTGAACATAAGCTGCTTTTGCCACCGCGCTCTGCACAACATGAAATTTGGAGATTCTCCTTGTTCCGAAGTAGATCCAGTATCATCTTTGAACTGCACAGTGCTAATTATCGCTTGTTTTACCAAAGCCTGCTCACAATCCTCATTTTTTCAGCCTAGTTCTTCTTTTTTCTATGCTGATTTTTTTTAGTATCTTCTGGTTCTGTCAACTGTAAATTTGAGAGTGATCACTTTTAGGTTACTTCCAGGTCACTGATGAGTATTTACAGTCAAAACACTGTTCTTTTGGACACCATCTTTGCAGAAGGATAAAGAATATCTCTAACCCTTCTGTTTACACTGTCATTTAATCCATGATTCATTTCACAGGATTTGTATCAAAACCAATTTGATCTAATTTCCCTAATAAGATTTTGCACAGCTTTGTGTCAAAAGACCATGCATGATCCAGAGTCAGTCTATTCACTGTATTCCTTTTGCCCACTAATTATCTAATTGCATCAAGAAAGGTTATTGTCTGCTGTACTCCTCTTTGATAAACCCACTGCTGTTTATCACTAACAATGCTGTTAGCCTTTATGTGCTTGTAACTGCCCTCAGACAAGTGTGCTCTGACCTCAGTGATTCTGGATGTAAACACACAGGTTTAGACAAGCCAAGGTCCAAATCTGTGCTTTAGGTCTTTATCCATTAGTGTTCTCTCCTTTGGGCAGCAATGTTGGGCAATGTTACAAGTTTCCTCAATTCTCCAGCCCTTCATCTTTTGCTATTTCTCTGCAATGGCTGCCATTAAAGGCTTATGAGTTTAATGATCTTTTGAGAATAACAGCAAAAATAAGAGAGGGAAAGATTGCTAGATGGGGAGGAACAGAAAGGGACAGAAGACTAGAGTTATAAAATTAAGGCAGTAGTGCCCATGATTTTCATTCTTTCAAACATCAAGGATTACAAGTTTGTGATTGATACAGGCAAGGCTATTTCATTGCACATCCTTCAGGGTTATTTTTGCCTGGAATAGTAATTTTTAGCTACATTCACCTCTTTACCCCACTTCTGGATTTGGAAATTACAATAATTTAGTAGTCTTTATGTATAAATGAGAAAAAAAAATGTCCACCACTCACACCTGTTTAGCAGGACAGCCAGAATACCCAGCTTGGTAATAGAAGGTAACTTCTTCCCGCCAGAGGAACTTTTTATCAGCTAAAGGTATACACAATTCAGTAACTTAATACCATCTGAACATTGAAGTGCTCATGCAAACCTAAGTACTTGACCTTCTACGCTCTCCAAATAGCATTCACTATTCCAAAACTGGATCAAAAAAAGTTTAGTGACAACACTGCTGAGCTTCCTTAGTGGCTGAAACCTCATCTTCAACAGGAAATGCAAGGATAGGTTCAGTTCTATACTCCAGTTTCCTGAAGAAAGTTAATGAATGGGCATATGTTCTGACATGTAGTCCAGTCCCTTCACCAGTATTTTCTGATTTAGTCATAAAGTCACCAACTCAGCATGTTGGGGATTTCCAACAGTAAGACTGAAATTATCATTAAAATGGGTACTGAAATGCAACTGTAGAACTAGTATCAGCTGATGGAGGGGAAAAAGAGAAAATACTCAGGCCCTCCTTAAGAAAAAAAAATAAAATCTTCCCTATTCTGGGCACAAGGAGAAATGTAAAAGGTCAGAAATGGGCTTTTTTTGTGGGTGGCTCTCACACTGGATATGGATTCCAGACAGAATGAAATCTTAATTTTCTGAAGTTCCATAAAGTGGAAAACCATGCAGGTAAGATGACTGTACAGCTTGTAACTTCCAGGTGCCATATGGCTGTACTTGTGGAACTGCACTTCAGTCCTGAAGTCTTCACAGTAGACTAA